TACTTTCTACTTGGCGGCGATTCTCTACCGTGAATGATAATAATAATAATAATAATAATAATAATAATAATAATAATAATAATAATAATAATAATAATAATAATAATAATAATAATTATAATCATGATTATAGTTATAAATCAAAAAATTGTTCAAAATAAGTAAATTTTTCAAAAAGTTAATTTAAAAAATATTTTTTTTTTAAAAGTTTTTTTAGTCAAATTGAAAAAAATCTTGTTAACATAAAATTAGATGTTGAAGGGCGGATGTCCCGTGGTAAGTTTTTTGTGGTGTAGGGTAACCATGACGGAAAAGTCTATATAGACGCGCGAGGGTGTGTATATGTGGTTTCACTGGGGTGGTCGACTTTCGAGGGGTATAGCCGAGATTTAGTGTGTACAGTTTGAGGGTGGAATTGCGTAAAAATGTGTTCAATGTTGAAGGGCTGTATGCCGAACAATGCCTTCATTCAATGCACTCTAGATATGATTACCGGAAACCATCCCATAATTACTTTTTGTACTTGAAAAACGCTCGCTCACTTCATATCCCGCGCGCGATTTTTCGTATATAATGATATGACCTCCTTTTACGTAGTATATATGAATATGTATTTATAAATCTTTTTATAAATATGTATTTAATAAGTCTTTATATAAATATGTGTTTATAAATCTTTTTATAAATATGTGTTTATAAGTCCTTTTTATAAATATATATTTATAAATCTTTTTATAAATACCCTTTTTATAAAATTTGTTCTACCTTTCAATGACAGGAATTTTGTGTTACGCTCTAAATATTACGCTTATTTCTTTAAGGGGTTTTCATTTTCATCTTTACAATGTCAATAAACTATGTCTTAATCTGGTATAATTTTCTGTCAAATCGTGTATATTTTTTTGAAGACTTTTTTCCGGTACTTTCAATTTTTTTCTGCCTTTTACTTTCTACGGAGGAGTTCATTAAATAAAAGTGAGTCTTTCTTTCTGTATTTCCTTCATTTTGTTACGAATAATTAGCCTCCCAAGTGTCTTTATTTTCGGTTTAGAAATTTTTTTAAATGTTTAGATTAACCCTTTCGTTAATATAGGTTTTTTTCATTCAAATTTTATGAGACTTAATACCTAGGGGTTTTAAGGACCTCTGATTACGAATCTAATGCCAGATTTTCAAAATTCAAGATGGTGGATCCAATATGGCGGACCAAAATTTTTAAATTTGATAGATTTTTATGAAACTTATGGTACCTAGAGGTTTTCGAGGTCGCTGATTACGAATATGATGTTAGATTTTCAAAATTCAAGATGGTGGATCCAATATGGCGGACCGAAAATTTTTAATTTGATAGATTTTTATGCACTTGGCACCTGGGGGCTTTCGGAGTCGCTGATTACGAATCTGATGCCGGTTTTTAAAAATTAAAAATGGCGGATCCAATATGTTTGACCGACGAATTTTAAATTTGATAGACTATTTTATAAAACTTGATACCAAAGGGTTTACCGGGCTCGCTGATTACGAATCTGATGCTAGATTTTGAAAATTCAAAATGGTGAATACGCAATATGGAGGACCGAAAATTTTTAATTTGATAGATTTTTCTAAAATTTTATACCAAAGGGTTTTTGGGGTCGCTGATTACGAATCTGATGCCAGATTTGCAATATTTAAAACGGCGCAAATCATATTCTTATTCACATATTTAAATTTAAAAAAAATCAGAATTAAACAAGAAAAACAATTTTAATAAAACCAAAAATACATGGTGTCATAATGTTATTTTGCCATAATTTATTATTACCTCAACTATTTATTATTAATAATTGTTAATAACTGTTTCATATCTCGACTCCTTTTGTCATAAACGGAAGTTTATTAACTTAAATGAAAAAGTAACTGAAGCAAATGGAAAGGGTAAGATGAAAGAAGAGCCCAGTATTGTTGGTGAAGTTGGAGGAGGAGGAGTGGGGGAAGAGCCTATATTATGAGTGTGTTCATATTTCCTGTGTTGCCTCTTTCCTTCCCTTATCAGCTTTCTCCCCAGAGCCCTTTTGTTCGCACTCTTTCGACTGTTAATGCTGCGAAATTAACTCCGCGAGAGCGAGTTTAAGAACTCTCGCTATATGTATACGACCGTATACCCCGCACACAGTTCTTGGGGTGAGCGCCGCTCATTGTCCCGGCTAGATATTATTTTAACATTATCAGTCTTAATTAATTTATTTATGAACCTCACTGCAGAATATTGCGATGAATTAACTCCTCGAGGTTCATCCTAGTCGTTCATCTATTTTTACAATTCAATTGTTTAATAGGTATATATGTGACGCATCACGCACAGTGGTGAAAGGGACCTAGCGCGATAAAAACATTAGGCCCAGTCTTTAGTGTTAACCTGTGTTATTAAATCAAAAATAAATCGAACTTTAAAATTTTCGTTCCTTATACAAAAGGTATAATAATACAAAAGTGTATTATTACCTCCGCATTACGTTCAACGAACTTTTTAGGTCAAAGTTCGCACGCCTTTATTATAAATATGATCCTCTCGGTATATATATACATTTTCCCGAATAAATAGGTGAATTGGAGGACGGAAATCCTTTATCTTTTTTTCCGGGATTGAGCAATAAATCAGTGAATCTTCCGACAAGCGAACCCCTCAGGAAAGGCCCATTGGATTTGCATAGGGGAGACTGACCCTTGGTCTTCTTGACCGGTCAGTAGTCAAGCTCTCCGTGGCTCACCTGCCCTGCGATTAGCCGGGGTCAAGATTGCCACCAAGAGAACAGAGAGAAGGGGGGGAACCCCCTTTTTTTATATTCTTATATATACGAGTTTACCGATAAATTAATGGTTTTCAGGGTTGTCCTTTCCAAATGGCTCTCACGCAAAAATTCAAATCATGACCCAATGGTGAGTTCTTATACTATATGAAATTATTTATGGTCAACCGTTTTAAAGTCTTGTGTGTACCTCTATGTGTGTGTTCTAAACAATGTTTCTGTGACGTCAGTCATTGTTCGAAGAATTTTTTTCTTTTTGGTTTGCCATAAGAATTGAATTTTTTCGTAGTGAACTAATTAATGATCTATATTGTTTATTTTAAAATATTCAAACGAATTTGTAATTTTAAGGGTAAGGGTACTAAGAAAGTGGTATGGATTTTAAGCCTAATGAGATTCCTTGGGAAACGTCTTAGAGCTATATTTGGAAATTCTTAAGGGGCATTTTTTTGGTAGTTCGTTACTGTATAACGGACTTTTAAAATTTTTTTTAAATTTAAAATTCAAATCGTAGTGGCTCTATACTTTTGCAATTTCACCAGGGTTGAGATTTTGGTGTTCAAAATTTTGATCGGAATCCTGTAGTAACATTTTTTGCAGAAATGCAATTATTTTTAAAAATTTTAATAAAATTCTTGTCAAAATTTCAATTATTTTCCAAAAATTTCCTCAATTCAATGATGTTTAATATCTATACTATTTTAATAAAATTTTCCCAAAGAATTCAATTAAAAAAAATTAATATAATTCTACTCGAATATTTACTTATTTTCATAAATAATAAAAATTTCATAAAAATTCAATTATTTACAAATTTTTTATGTTTCTTCATGATAATTCCATTACTTTCATAAATAATCAAATTTTTTACAGAGATTTTATAACTTCACTTCACGTTCAGTTTACTTCCTATTTATTAAATTTAATACTTCTCTTCAAAATTTTAAGAAAATTTGAAGTGTAAATATAAAGTTAAATTCAACAGAAATAAAGTGAAAATGAAGTGAAAGTGAAGTGGGAGCGAATTGAGAGTAAAGTGAGAATAAGGTGAAAGTGAAGTGAGAGTGAAGTGGAAGTGGAAGTAAAGTGAAATTACAGATGCGATCCCCTGTACAATGTTCTTAACAAATTTATCTTCAATTTCCAGAAAAAGTGGAATTGAACAGAAATTAATTTTCATCATTACAAAAAGGAAACAAATTTTCTAGGACTTTTAGCGTCACACATAAAATGTTAACAATAATGTAATATGCCATTTTACCAAACAGTAAAGAATAGCGAGAATATATACACATACATATACTCTCACCTGCAAATGGCATCTGGAATATATGATGTATCGAATTTCTATTTGAAAATTTCACGAAAGTTTGAATCATTATTGTTCCTCAATATTGTAAAATGAGTTTATTTACACACGAGAAATTTTTATACGAAAGAGATTGATGGAATATTACGCTTTTGCGTCTTATATGTATATAAACGGTCCGACGATATTTGATATAAGACCATTAGCGGTCATTTTCTCTCCCTTTTTTTCTCTCAAATAATCCCTCGTGCCCTTTTACTTTCCGGTCCGTTCTTATGTCCATTTCGCGAACACTCGCCGCAGTTTAAAATCCAAAATCATTAATGATCCCCCTTTGTCCGCCTCAGCAAAGAAAAAAAAAGAAGAAAACGTTCCTTATTTTCTGCTTTACTAAATAATATTCCGAAAAATCATTAATCTTCATTTTGCTATTTATACGATCTACATTTTTTCCCTGCAAACAACTTAATATATTTTCAAACGGAAATAAATATAGATTAAAAAAATTTGTTTTTGATTTCTTTTTGGGAAATGTTACATTTTTTGTAACTTCTATAATGTTCTTTAAAAGAATTTTAAAATACTCTTGATTTTTGTTTAACGAAAGGGTCAAATTTAAAGTTTTTTCGAAAAAAAATTCCTGCATTTGAAAGAGAAGAAAGAAGCTTTGAAAAAGTTCAAAATTTTTTAAATCTTTAGCTCCTAGAATATATATAAATTATTTAAAACAACGTAGTATAACATAATTTATTCTTTCTTCTTGTAATCGCACTGACAACCTTGACAGCTATCAAAAAATAAAGTAGTAAAAAAATCTAGTGATAAGAAATAATAGTTTGCAGGTGTACAAATTTTATATTTTCCGATAATTAAAAAATGCGTTTTTTGAAATGTATATTAGGATATATTACCAACATTACTGGGACAAAAGTCAACATTATTTGAAAAAAAATTCAACATGAAACTTTCGATTTCTACTCTTTTATTGATTTTATCGATCTTAATCAATAATTCACAATCAAATTCCTACAATTTTCCGCCCTACAGTTACAAAACAAGAGAAGCGGCCGAAAGTATATGTTTTTCTCTTTTATACAAAAATCTGCATAAAATTTAAAAAAAAATTAAAAATAATACATAATTAATTTAAATATAATTCTAAATTAATGATTTCAGTTCACTGCGTTTATCCGCATAGTATAATTAAAAAACATCCCATTTTTAAAACTAAAAAGACAGTTCTTGTTTATATTTGTAAAGGAGGCGATCTGGATTCTTATTACAAAATAAAAGATGAAGCAAAGGGTACGTATCGATAATATAAAAAGTTTAATAATTAAATGCAGATATATTTTAAAATTAAATTTCTTTGTTTTTTCTAATTTACAGAAAGTTGTGTCTCCAAATATGATCATCTTTATTATTGCAAGTATGATAAAGAGTCTTATCAGAATTCTCTCGAGAGTCTCAATTTACCGGATTAAATTCTAAAATAAATGAAATAAAAGAAAATATTTACTGTTAACATTTTAAATGTTCTAAATACTGTAAAATATTTTAAAATAAATTTTCAAAACTTATAAAGTTATGGAGTTGATTTTTTAATTCGTCGAATAAAAAACCCCTATTTTTAATTATTTATATATTTAAATAATACTTATATATATATATATTTCAATTATTTATATAAAAAATCCTTTTTTTTAATTATTCGAAACAATATAAGTGGTAAGTATATAAAAATTCAAAAATATTTCTTTCTATCACTTAAAACCTTGACAGTTATCAAGAGAGAGAAATAAAAATATATCGAATACTAAAAATGAAAGATTGCAACTTGGTTTTTTAATTTAGAAAAATTTTATGTCTATTGATAAGGAAAAAATTTTTTAACAATTTTTTTTATATCTTTCCGATTTCACTTTCGCATCTATTTTCATTTAAAGAAATTTTTGCATTTACCAGACAATTGAAAAACTGAAGAATTTCAACATGAAACTTGTGATTTTTACTCTTTTATTAATTTTAAGTGTAATTATTAAAAATTTTGAATCAGTTTCTGCAAATAAGGTGCATTTTGGAAAGGAATACGTTAATAGAACAGACGCTGAAAGTAATTTTTGTTTCTTCATATAATATAATATTAAGATTATAATAAATATATATAATATTAATATAAGATTATTTTTAAATAATAATAAAATATTTTTAAATTATATTAAAAATAAAGGAAAAAAATTTATTTAATTATTTTAGAGGAGTGCGTTGAGGATGATGTACGATTAAAAAAATTAATGTTGTTCTTTAGAATTAACATTAGAGTTAAAGTTTATGTTTGTAAAGGGGATGAACTGAAATCTTTCTTTAAAGGAATTGATGAAGCAAAGGGTTAGTAAAGAATTTAGAAAAAATTTTATAGTTTTAAATTATAATTAGAAGTATACGTAAATATCAAATTTCATTATTCTTCTTTTCCGCTCTTTATAGAAAATTGTGTCACCAAAGCTGATGATCATTATTATTGCAAGTTTGAGAAGGATCCACATTACAATTCTCCGTACGCTTATTAAATGATTTTAATAATCTTTTTTTTTGCAAAAATGTAAAAATAAAAATTCAATATTTAATTAAAAAAATGCTACTTATTGTAAAATGCTGTTTTACAATAAATTTCTCTAAATTTTGAAACTATAACAACTTAATCATTATTCCTTTTTCAAAAGAACTTATTCCTTATCTTTATAGATCCACACTGAGAGAGAATATATATTAAATTTTATAAAAGTATTTTACAAATTGGGGAAAAAGTGCGACAAAGCGAAATTTTGATATAGAAAATACTAAACTTTAAAAAAATTTTGTCGCACTTTTTCCCCAATTTGTAAAATATTTTACAAAATTTAATATATTCTCTCTCCGTGCAGTTTTAACGACGATAAAATAATATATTAATAATAATAACAAATGTTTTTAATAAAGAATATCCCCTTCATTTAAAGGTGAATCAAATATTAAATAATTAAAAAAGTTATAAAATTTAAATTCAATTTTATTCAAAAAAAAGTTTGAAAGCTTAAATATTTATTTTCGTTTGAAAAATAGTGAATTGTTTGTGCGGTAAAAGCAGATCGTAAATATTAAAGTGAGGATTATTTTAGAAATAATTTACTATTTAAGATTTTTGCTTTTAATTCTTTAACAAATGTTATAAGGAATTAAATGAACAAAATCTTAAAATATGACCGAAATCACAAAAATTAAAATAAGTATTTTATTGCTGTGGCAACCCTGAATTTTCTACATATAAGTTTCTCTCTTTTGTTTCGAATATTATAATTTTTATTTTAGATATTATAATATCTATAAAATACCAAACAAAAGAAAGAGTTTTGAGAAAAAAATTAATATTCGTTTTTCGTATTAGAACGTCATCAGTTCATAATGAAGCTGTATTATATTAAATGGCAAGAATATAAATCATCAAGTTGGCAAAAGGGAAAAAAAATTGTTTAAGAAAATGATCGACTACGATTGACATATGAGCCGTGTAATTGCAGCAATTAATATTAGTCGAGTTATCTAATTAGATGCAACCATGTGAACCGTCTCGGGGATCGATGCAGATTGAATATTCCCTCTCGCACATATATAAGCCATGTCTCATAAATTTCCACGTTTCTATTGTTAACTAAAATATGTCGAGGTTTTAATAGCTTATTTTCTTGAGGACCCGATGTTGAAGATTTGCTTCGTCGGACGCAAATTGCGTATATATATACATATATATATAATATCGACATCATGATGATACTATATACACGAACCATTCGAACAATGGAATACCAACGAGATAACCTGATACGCACCTTCAAAAACAACAATGAACAATACACTTTATTTGAAAAATTTTTTTCAAGTCCAACACTCAACAACAACCTCCCTTTATTGTTTCTAAATATGATATTATTTCTGTACTTAAAGGAATTTTGTTCTATTCGTAAAACATTACTATACTGCTTTTAAACAATTTTAGTTTAAAAAATAAAAATGGATTATAATGAAAATTTTTCAAAAAGAAGTAATTCTTCATTCATCACGGAGTAAGGAATGCCAATTTTGTATGCAAATTACGAGTAAATTCGCATTGCTTCTTTCGCTTTCTGTCAGGAAACTAAAACTCCGGCGCCGGACGACGTTAACGATCCATATCAATATGAATAGAATTTATTACCTTGAAGCTCCGTTCGCTCTTTTATCCAATCAGTCAAGTTCAATTTTTTCCTTGTTCATACGTACCTTTAGTATTGAAAAATGGCGAAAAACTCGCTTTGGAATTTAAAATTTTTTGATTTTAAATCGTTGGGTAAACGAAGCGTCTTTGATGAAGAGTGGGGGAATAGACGCTTCCCCCACTCTTCACTTTTCGTCGATTTAAAATCATTGAGAGTCTTTAGTGAAGAGTGGGGGAATAGACGCTTCCCCCACTCTTCACTTTTCGGCGATTTAAAATCGTTGAGCGTCTTTAGTGATGAATGGAGGAATAGACGTTCAACGATTTTAAATCGTAGAAAAGTGGACTTCTATTAAAAAGTAAGAATTTCACATTTGAAATAATTTCCTCCTTCCTATAGTTTCTTCATAACAAAACTAATGAAGCGAGAGAAGAAATTTTTTCATCGTAAAATTGGTGATTCTCGATTGAACCTGCCTATACGCTTATGACACTTGAAACATCCTCGCGGTGATAAAGTGCAATCTGTCCGCCCTGTGCGATCGTGATTATGATTGAGAATGATTGGATGAAACGAGAAGTAGTGAATCTCCGAGAGATGAATAGTTATATGCATCGCAGAGAAAGTAGCAATAGTCTTGGCGATGATCCCCCATCTATGTGCATCATTAGTTCCGTTGACACCCCTCTCTCTCTCTCCACTATTAATTAACGATGCATCAGCTCCTGGCCGTCGCTTTTGCGCCATTAAAAAAAAAAGAGACACTCTCATCAACTAGTCTTTCTTAAGTCCGTTAGAATGAACGTCCTTTCGCGGAAATCACGAGACGCGCCTTTATGGACTCTCGAACTCGTTTCTAAATGAGGTTTTGCTCGCAAGTCTTTTATCGAGCTGTAGATTGATTTCATTAGCAGGCCTCATTGAATTCAACTTCACACTACATCGTGATGCTAAAGCTTCATTATGCACATTAAACATTATTATCGCGCGAGAAGATCGGCCTAATTTGAAATTAATAACATTCTATAGTCTTCTTTATTTTTTAAATTGTTAAAATTTAAAATTCTGCCTTTTGAAAAAATGTATACATGCGAACATTTTTGTAACTTTGAAGCTAGTATAGCAAAAGACCGCTTTCTCCCACTCTTCATGTGGACACCAATCACAACGTGGAAAGTGGGGGGAAACAAAATTTTCTCTCTATACTTGGCAGTGCTTCTTTGTGGCTTAGACTTAACTTCAGACTTAGATTAATAGAAATTCTTAAATATTTATTTAAGAAAAAAGAATATATGATTTCTTAACCTCGTGTTTGAAAAGTTATTCGAATAGGAGAAATAACGAGGGGGCATGTATGATGGCACAAAATTCGTATTAGAATCGAGCAGGACTATAAGTCGGTGGAATGGGTTTTTAATCAGTGTATTCCGGACAATAGAGGTCCCCGTGGGGCACCAACGTTGGCTGGTGAGGGTTGCCTCATACCTTCTTCTTTGGCCGTGAATGTGCGTGCGTACCCTTACCCCGCTCTTCGGCAATGGATTTAGAGCACCCCCATTTCTTGCTGAAAGCATCACTATATATATATAATATGCCATATACTATACACATAGTCGACATTGCTTGGTCTAGCTTGGCCTATTCTGCAAGGTTGCATCGACCGGACGTGCACTAATTCAAATGGGGAAAATACCACACACACGGGTCGTGCGGTTAATTCTGTACAAGAGGCGGGAGAGTGGGATGAATTCAGAGGGTGGTTCGAAAGTGAAACCGCGGTGCAATCAGCAGTGGCCATATGTCACGCTAACATTAGCGCGTACTCGCGTCAATTGAGGGGAAAGGACTATCACTTTTTATACCCCTTCTCTCAGTAAAACACTTCTCTCTCTCTCTCTCTCTCTTTCTCTCTACCATATTTACTTAAATAACACTCTATCGATTCTAACCTTTACTTTATTGTAGAAGTCTACAATAAGATTAAAGAATTTCCTGTGCGCGAACTTTTAATTTTATTTATATTCTAGTACATATATGCGCTGACACCAATTTTCAAAATTCAAAATGACGGATCCAATATGGCGGACAATTTTTCTGAAAACTCATTAGATTCGCTTGAAACTTGTTACTCAAGGGTTTCCATATTAAAAAAATATCAGCAAGAACAAGAAATAAAAAGTTAATTCATTAGAAAAGCTATTTTATAATAAAAAAATTTGATTTAAATCATAATTTATACCCACATCGAGAAATTCCATGGAACTACCCCCTTGAAATTCCATGGAGATTCCATATGAAAATTCTGTAAAATTTTTTATTTCAATATTATTTTAACATTTTTATTATGATTAGAGTCTAATTAGTTAAAATTAAAAATCTAATCTTAAATAAGCTTTGTTGCAATTTATTTGCAAAACTTAAGGAGGTTCTATCGCTTGACGCAGCTATAGTCAAAACAGTGAGAAATATTTAATGTTTTGACTCACTTGGTAACGTCAAACGTTTGGCAACGCCGAATTATTTCTAACCAGCTGATAAAAATTATCATTTAAATTTCGCGCTCAAATTTAATGTGTATAGTGCATGCAACGTTGCCAAACGTTATAAATGTTGTTTATATTTTCAGATGAAACGTAAATTTTGTTTACAAATTGATTTATTGTAAATCTCACAGGTACCTATTGACAATTGTTTTAACAGATATGTAATTATTGCATATCGGTTTAGTATTTAAAAAATTTAGATCAATATCTGTTCATTTAATACTTTGCAGTTTGTAAATATATATGACAAACTATACTCAATTCCCATAAGACTCAATGTTAAATGTTGAAAATCAAAAATGTTTATAACTTTTTTCATATAGGTACCTAGAGGTCACAAAAATTTAACTACGCCTTCATATTAACTTTATCTACTTGCTCATCAAGTTTTATCAAAATCTGTTCATTAAATCAATTATCGATAGAACCTCCTTAATTAAAATACGCGCATTTTTCAAAAGAATTGAAAGAGCAAATTTGATAATCACCTCCAAAAATTGTTAAGATCAGCGTCGTTTTTCAAGACACACATTTTTTCTGAATCGAAAAAAAATTCTAGAAAAAGTCCTGAGTACCTCCGTGTTTCGGAAAAAGTTCTCCTTTAATAAAAAAAGCTCCAAATTGTATTTAAAAAAATCCAAATTTGATAATCGACTCCAAAAATTGTTTAAAAAAAAATTATCAATACCATCAGCGTCGTTTTTCAAGATACAAATTTTTCCTGAATCGGAAATAAATTTAAAAAAAAGTTCTTAGTACCTTCCCCACGTGAAACGATTCTACGGAAATTCCGTATGGAATTCGATTATTATTAAATTTGAAACGTATTCTTACAAAGGAGATGATATTACATTGATAATAAGAACTCGACGTTGGCGTTGTAAGGCTAATCGTGTCACAGATGCTATCCATACGAATGGGTGGTTTGCATTCAAAACTATCCAGTAATATATATAGGTATATATATTGGTATCAAGAACGCGGTTAGCATTGAAACCGGGGAAATTTTCGTTATAGAAGGAAGATATATATATATATATAGAGGTTGGGTATAGTACTTCGCGACGTTGATACCCCCGTGGTATGCTTTTGGAGGGCTGCTGTAATCAGTCGGCCAGGCAAGAGGCCGGGAGGATTAATTAAGCTGTAATTACTGGACAGCCTCTCCTCTGAACTAATGGGCAACCTGATATCTGTGAAAGGCCGGATCGCCACGTGAATAGATACCTCGGCTGACCGAGACCCTCCAACAGTTATCGCCTAGACAATTTCATTTCAAAAGTTTCAATATACCGTTTCCTTATTCACATCTTTGCTTATTTTTCAAAAATTCGATAATTCGAAACTTAATTATTTAAATATACCTTATTTAATCACCATTTTCCTTTCGCCTTCATCTCGAATATTTTCTCTTCATTTTTCTCCCTTTTGCACAACCTGAAACAAAACAAAATGAGCAAATGTCAATTATCGACCAAAACAAGGTTTTGGACAAAAAAAAGAAGGTATCAACCTTCTTATATGATGAGAATGTAAAAATCAATATAAGAAAGATTCACATATTCCTCCTAGCTTATGTTTAGAATTTATGCTATATATTTAAGAAGAAAATCGTTGAAAGAATAGTGAAATTTTTTTAAAGATGTTTTTTAGAGGACTTGGGGCATAGCCGTTGATAGCGTCGCGACTCATAAATCAAAACACACGCGAAGGTATATATAAGGTCGGTAAAAAGGGGACTAATGGTGGTGTGGTGATGCCCTGAAAGGTAATTACTTCATCCTATGTGCAAACAATGGTGAGCGGAGCCCCTTGTCCTGCGTGAGAAACAAAACCCCGTTGAGGCCCTTTCTTCTAAACCCAAGCCCCGTGTAACTGATACTTCTAAACCCAAATCTCAAGAAACAAGTCCTATAGTACAAAAAAAACTTCAAAAATTTATTCTTTACAAACAATTTTGGGTATAAAAATGTACCCTGAGTGAACATGGACACTCGAATGTTGTACTATATCTTTTCCTAAAAGTGCTATAACTACAGAGATTACAGTCAAAATTTTAGGGACAAGTATTACGATAATTTTATGAAATTACGATAATAGGCTTCGCATTCATCTACTAAAACTACTTTTTTTTACAATTTCCTACTATTCAGATACTTTTTTAGATTTATGACACTAAAAGCTATACTTTTTTCTTTATTTTGATGCTTTTTTAAAATTAATTATTGAGTGTGAAGCCTGCGATAGTTATAAATAATATTTAAGTTAAGATACTTTCATGCTTCAAAATTTTCAAAAGAAAACAAATTTTTTAAATTTCTTTCTAAAATTTAAAAAAAATTTGGGTGTCAAACACCCGCATGTATGTATGAGGATGATATGGAAAGTATGCACACGTTTTAATGCTTAAATCTGCATCTAATGTAAATATTTCTCCTGGAATTTTTTAAAAAATGTTTAAACGTGTTGAGGGAAAGAATTAATGCGGTTTTAAAAAGTTTGATCCTTCTGCTTTTGGACTTGCAATTGAATTAGAAGCCATCGACATTGTGGAGAGATTTTCTTGCACCATTGGGAATGCTGTATATATATTCATATATAGACTAACCACCCACACGCGTTAATCGTCAATCCGGTTAGCGCCACTGGTTGAAGCGCCCTTCCGTATTGCAGAGGATCATCCCTTAATCCATTCATTCGCATCCCTGCAACTTTCAACCGACTGTGTCGCGCAAGTGAATGAGCGAGTGGTTTCCAGTCTTGTACCCCATGTGTTTCGAAAGCTCTTTCTTTTGCATCACTTTGCCTCTCTTTTAAACGTTCTATTACGATTTATTCACGCGCTCCATCCACCTACACACATTCAAGTTTCTTTTTTTTTTGTTTTTGATATAAATTTCTCATAAGTTCATTTCAACATTTTATGTATAATATTGGCAAAATTTTCAATCCATCTTATAATTAGATAACTGGAATTAATATTTGAATCTTAGAATTTAATTATTTTGCAATATTGTTATTTCTTCACTGTACCTAAGTGAAGAAATAAGAAATAGGTAAATAATATATGGACACTTTCGGTTCTTTAATTAAGAGTTAAGGAATGAAAAGTACATACAAAGAATACATCATTAAACCTAAAAGGTGCAAAGTTTGTCACTGAGGATAAAAAAAAAAGTCGCATCGCAGGTGAGCAAATAAGAAAATCTCCATTATTTCTAACGAGGACATCCCCCTTTCTTTTTTACTCTCTCGGAATATGCAAGTCATCTTGCGCCAGGACCTGTGTGTGGACCCTTTTCGCGCGGTGTGAAATCATCCCTCGACCTTTGATCCAAAACAGAATAGAATGGCACGGAAAAAACTCTTAATAAACACGTCTTACAACATCAACGTAGTGCATAAAACCTGCACGAGCCAAGCGCCCAGATGAAGAATCCTTGCTTCCGTTCTCTCTTTCTCTCTCCATTTTATCCTTCTCCCTCACCCGACAAACGCGGAATACAATAGATAAATGAGATTTTTTGCGAGCGATTGAGATCCGAAAGCAAGATGAGGTGGAGAGGGGGATCATCATTGTCTCCCCCTGGGGAGTGGGACCACGAGAGAAACATAGAGAGAGAGAGAGAGGGAGAAAGAGAATGTACCGATGATAGGGTGCATCCCTCGGGGAGTTGAGGGCTCGAAGAAAGGGTTGACAGAGAAGGCTTTTAATACTTTGCGGTACAGTCGTGCCATTGTCGATAAAACGCATCGACTGGATTACCATAAATCCACATCCTCTCGAAAACAAAAGAAAGTCCACCGATTATCAGATCATGGACAATGTACACGGAGAAAATCTGTTCACGAGAAATTGTTTTCAAACTTACATTGATAGCATAAGAACAAATAATTAAAAATTCGAGAAATAAAAATAATAAACCATATACCTAATTATACCTAATATACCTAATTGTACTATTAAATATAGATAAAAATCAGTTTATATGCCAAAATAAAAAATTCGGACTGGTTATAGTTTTGTCAGTAATTGGTCCGTAATTTTTCATTTTTGGTCCGTAAAGTCCGTATTTTTAAATACTTTCACTGGTTCGTGCCCTGATATAACTATACTGTTGCCATGGTTTTGCCAGGGTTGAGACGTTATAGTGTCTCTAGCTTGGGTTTTGCTGCAGTAGCAATAAGAAATATAATAACAAATATAAAAATACATGAACCTTTCGGTATACATTAGAAAGTTGCCACTTGATTTTTTTTATGAGGAGATTTGGAGTTAACGAGAACATTAAGGAGAAGAAGGGGGGCCTAAAAGGACACAATCGTCCAAAACCTCTCTTGGCCGGTTTATTCTCTTATATAGAGGATCGAATTCATTCACTGGGTCTGTGCATGGCTCGTACATCAACCTGTCATAATTAATAGCACCTTTTTGTACCCGAGTCTCTCCCTTGGCTCTTAACACTTTGTCTTATGCGTGCACGATGCAACGTACCAGAAGGGCCCTCTCTTTATACTATTATGCATCAGGCCGCATAAAAAAGTCAACGCACCAACAGCGCGCTATGGGAATATGAAGGAATGTTGAGTCATAATTGTGTGTCTTTTCAGCATCGCACATTTGCTAAGCAATGATCATTTGGTTCAAAATGTTCAGCACTATCAATTTAATTACACCGATTATTTATATCATATATAAAGTTGAGGTATTCTCTACGCTTTTGCCGCGCCATGAGTTTTAGAATCGGAATTTATACCATTTAGAACGATTTAAGTGAATTATACAAAAAAAAATAGAATTTGCAAATTCATATAATACTTTGGATTTTTATTCGGTAAAAATGATCGGATATCCCATTTAGGTGTTCTAATTTTAAATATATGATTCAAATATGATTCTCTAGCAGACTTTTTTTTTAAATTTTGAATAAGAAATCGAAAATAACTATAAGGCGCTGGATATCATTAACAATGACACTGTTTAATTGGCGATCTTGAAAGTCGATGCAAAGCACGTCGTCGTTGTCGTCGCGAAGGGAGCAGCCTTGGTGAAACCATACTGCTATTAATTCCAGATCCCTGTTTTCCAGCAGTTTCGCGTTTACAAATTGGTGAGATGTCGCGACGACGGTGCAAAATTTCGACACCGGAGCGCGATTCTGTCCAACACACCTAATTAGGAAAGCACCGCAAAAAGCGAAGTTAATTAATTGGGACACAGATTAATGATAGAACATTAAAGTTTATTTTATCCTCCGTCAAGTATACCTACTGCTGCTGGGTATCGTTACATGTTTTATCGTTCCAACTTTCACGTTTCATCTTCACTTTATTTAGTATATACAATACTTCTACTAATGTGTCTCAAAACTTTGTCTCTCATGTGTCACCTATATATGGACCTTTTAACATCCGAGTTATTAGCATTAATTTAATAATATAATATTTAGAAAAATTAAATACGAAAAATATTTTAAACCCATGACTTTTCCCTGAATTTCCTGACCTGTGGCATCCCTGCAAAGAAATAATTGAATTACTCGAGAGAAATTTAAATTTAAATAGAAGACAGTAATTTAATGATAAAAAAATTTTTTCAATAGCACGATATACTGATTAGTTGGTGTATTTGAAGAAAACAGTGAAGCCACCTGTGAATATAAAACGCGTGGGCATATCATAATGTCCGGAGACAGGTTCGTTGCGGTTATACACTCGCCAACCCACGCATAAATCGGGGGATAAGAAGTCTTAGGCAGCACGATGTAAATGCTACTATAACGATCAAGTGTTAGTGGGATGTTAACCACTTACGGAGGCAAATTGACTCTAACAGAGACTTGTTCGATTGGCGAGAAATCGATTATACTTTCATTTTATTGGCCATTATAACAAAAGAACCCCGGTATAATACATTCCGAGAAGAAAGAAACTATCGTCTTTGTCGTGATACTTGAAATTGTAAAGACGCGTTCATACTATTTCACTAAATATACTGCTGACATTATTCCAATTCAAATAAATTTTCAAATTGCGCTATTAAAATAGACGTTCATACTAATAGAATTAAACCAAAAATTATCTTCACTTTTTAATTAAATTATCAAAAGGCGAGCTTTTTCAGGAAATTAATATTTGTTTCGTGTATAGAAGGTGATTTTATATGTATATAATAAGAGAATTGAAGAATCCATTTCCGGAAGTAGGAGAAATTTATAAAACAATACGAGATTGAATTGGTCTCTCTTTCTCTCAAGGAATGAGAGGAATATCAATTCAAGAAATCGTAAGGAATACCTTTATACGAGTCCCTTTTTGAATAAATTATACGTTATTCTCTCGATGGCAATCACAGTCTTATTCAACGGAATGCGACACGATTGAATTATTCTTGTTACTCCTATCGTTTTTGGCTTATGTTTTCTTATACAATCATG